CTTGGCGTCATACTTACCATATTTACCACATTTTCGTCTTTTATTTAAAAGGGTAGTTTCCTTCTTTCTTCCCTCTCCTTTCCCTGTTTACACATCCGTTTATTAGTGACATGACATAATGCTTCATCTATAAAATGTATGTGGCACAAGGGACTTTGAGGAGTTTCTCCTCCCCAGCTTTGGAATCACTCCTTAACTCGGGGCCAGAGTATGGGTGGGGTTGGGAGGAGTTAAGGTGTGAGGTTGGAGGAGCACAACCACGAGGGGCTGTTGGATATTGCAACTCATTGTACCATTCCCAAAAGTGACTGGGCAGGACCTGGACCTTTGAGGGCTGTAGCACATCATTTCTCTAACGTTCTGGCTGCAGCTGCTGGCATTAATATAGCTACTTCCAATTATGGAGCAGTACCCACGTCGTGTTAGCCCTGAAGACACATTTGGGGATTCAACAAACCTGCCTTGGGTGCTGAATCAGGGCTAAGTCAAGTGCCTGTTCTGTGCAAGGCTAAGCTGATGAATGCCAATAAAAATAATCATCTGGCCACTGGCATTGTGGAGAATTTAGAATGATTAAGAAAAGAAAAATTATGTGCTACAGTGTGCTCCACGTTGCCCGTCAGTTCATTGCTCAGAGGAGCGTGTGGGACCAGATTTGAAGGAACAGTGACAATGAACCAGGAAAAAGAGCTGGAGCTTCACTGAGACATTTTTCTTGAAATGAGATTTATTCATTTTTTTTCACCTCATTAACATTTTTGAGATACTAATCACCTGCTGGGGGAACTGCTCCAGGAGTGCACAGTACCCTGCAGTGTCATTAATTTTCAAAGCCCCAGTTATGATTATACAGCACTAGGAATTGCCTGCAAATGTTTCCACGTAGAAACCTGTAGTTTCCGGCAGAAACACCTACTGAGCAGATAAACTATTTTTCCAGGGCTGTGGGACCAACTGAAGAGCTACATAGCACCCTTCTACATACTAGCATCCAACAATGAAGGCAGATTCCCATTTTTACAAACTTGCAAAATAAATAACAAAGAGTGCAGTGTTCCCTGGGCAGCCCTTTATCCTGCTGAGCAGAAACGTCGCAGCGTTATCTGTGTTTGCTCAAATCTGTTTGCAACTTTTGCTGGGTTGCAACCCAGCATTCCAGGGCTGGAATACAAAGGACCTGATTGAGTTATGCTTCGTATACCCATGGACAGGTTGGCCTAAGGACATTTTTATTAGCTACACTGTGTGACCTTGGCAGGCTCAGGTAGAAGAATGATCCAGGAATCCTAACACTTCACTAGGCTCTGCCCTATTCAACTAATCTTGAATGTGTTTCCCATTTCTGCACCAAAAAAAAAAAAGGAAAAAAAAATAAATCAAATGAGTAACCAAGTCCAAGGCAAGAATTCAATCTGAGCTGTACGACCTTCCCCTTTCCAGAGTGCAAATACATAATTTCCAATGAAAATGATCCAGCACCAGACTCAAAAAAGGGTCCCGAAAGTCACAGATTCATTTGGATTTCCCATGCTACAGGGAACAGTCCTTCTGTTAATACTGGCTGAACACCAAAATTTAGTGTATATAAGGACTCAACAATTGTACATTGTATGTTGTTACTTCAACAGAAAAGCCAAAGCATGGAAATAATTTCTGGCATTATTGTTCTTCTCTTATTTGATGTATTTCTAAGCAGCTGATGGGTCAATATTGAACAGAACTACCTGTAATTCAAGTTCCCATTGTTTTATTTCAGTGCTTGTAGGCAAATAAATGCTAGATTCCAACAGCTATCAAATATGTTCTCCCGTGTTCCATTTCTCCCATTTCTCCCATAATTTAGTTTACCATTAACTATTTGTTAACTTAGGTCCCGTGGTCAAGTATGTATCATGATATTTATAAAATAAAGTATATAACAGCTGAACGGGAAAAGCTGCCAACAGATCTTTAAGGTGATCTGATTTCCAGTTCATGTTTCCCTGTATTATGAATGTAGTTCTTGGAGCACCAGCCCTAGGGCTGAAATCCTACAACTACTGGCTGTGGCAGTACAGACCTAGCACCCACTGACTTGCAGCAACTGTTTTGAGGACTGAGAGATGGGCCAGCTTTCAGTGCATGCCTTGGTCCTTGGCTGTTCCCCTGGCTTAATCCCAATTTCTCTTAGGACAGTGTTTTAGGCAGTCACCAGTCAAACCTAAAAAACCATCCCATGATGCAAATGTGAGGTTCCTACCTAGAATGAATGGGCCAAGCCACAGACTTTCACTGCAGATATTGAAATTCAGGGTAACAACCTCATCCACTTCAGTGAGTGTAAAACCAAACCAGTGCAGAACACGTGTTGTCCAGTGGTTTCTATCACCATCCAGTCCTGCTGA